AGAATGCCAGGCTGAGAACGCCATGAGAAAGCCTCTTGAATGCAGGAGGCACGTTGTGCTCTCTCACTTTTACTCTACAGGATGATTTTGCACAGACTGCTGTGCCCCTTTCCAAGGTATAAGTTCCTATTTACAAACCTGATAATGCTAATGACCTCTTTTATAGACTCAGTTTAACATCTACTAACGGAAACTACTGCTTAAGACTTGAATGAACCAATGAACCAAAAGAATCTTATAACAAAGAAAATGAAGTCTGGAATTGCCTGTTGAAAAACGTAAGGTATAAGTGCAGTAGAAAGTCCTTTGCTCTCTCTTCTGACACCATCTGCATTTTGTACAAATACACAGAGGAAGACCTGTTTTCCTATGGATTGTTGTCTGGTCTATGGATGCTCAGGGAAAGCTTATTCCTGCATGCATCTAGTCCCTCACAGGGAAGAGTTCTGTCCCCCACTAGGACCATCAGGACGGAGAGAAGAATCACAACCAACTGTTACTTTTTATTTCTCACTACAGATTTAATTACTTGTGGGCAGTGTACCCCTACAATTTCCTATCTACATAACCTTGTGTTCAGGAACTGCCAGCAAGAAATGTGCAGGAACAAGATCTTGAGGTCTATGCACGGGACTGGTCACTTATAAGACATCTGCTTAGTCAGTAATAGAATACTAGTTAGAGCTATGCTTTCACTTTGCACCCAATGAACTGTTTATCCTTTACATTTTGAAAAGTTTAGACCTGCACAGTAGTCATTTTGTATTTGTTGTGCAGGGAAAATGATTATATTTAGCCCAGACCTTCAGATATTCAGTGAGTGTGATCCTTCTCCATTTTCATCTTCATAGATCACTTTTCTTCCAGGAAACATTTAGTGATGTTAAAAATATCTAAGTTATGAGAAAAAAAAAGGATATTTTTTAAAGCTTTTATGAATAACCTTTTAGAAACCTTTCAGTTCACTACAAAAGAAGCCATTTTCAACTCAAAATTTGGCATTCAATAATGGAAAAAAAATCCAAAAAAATTATGAAACCTCTAGTAATAATAATAATAGTAATAATGATAATAATAATAATAATAGAAACACAGAAAAGGTGAGGAAAAACAGAAGGTGTAAGATGGTTCCAATAAGGTGCTTTTTTCTTTTTTAAGTGTGATTTCCTCCTATTCTTCCTCTCACTGAATATCAGACATCAAATGGATCAAAGGAAACAGTATAGATGTTCAATCTAGCAATGTAAATTGGCTCAGCACTAGTACAGCTAGCACATAAATTGCAGGAGAAATAAATATACAACCTGTTTGTTCTGCCATTGTGAAAATATAGTTCAATTAGTCTGGACTACCATATGATACACAGCTTCTCCATTTTCTGTGGGATATAATTGGGAACAAAATCTAGCATCTGAGAGATTCAGGGCTTTGAAGAACATGACAGCTTTTGAATAAATAAAGAGGATGGTATGAAAGCTGCAGTGTACCCTGCTTTTCACTGTGGGGAGTTGAACACGCCTTTTCCTTTCTGGACACTTTTATTTGCTCATTTGTAACTAGGTTTGCATGAATCACTGGAAGCCTATTCTGTGAATCTGTCTGAGGAGCTGTGTAACCATCTAGGAAAGCACAGGAGAGAAGAGGAGATGAGATGAAATGAGACAAGCAGAGCTCAGCTGAGCTGCAGAGAAGAAAAAGTGATGACAAAATAAGCTGAGCTGGAGAGAAGAAAAAGTGATGACAAAATAATGGAAAAAGGCAGAGAGGAAATTGCGAAAGCCTCACATTATGCTCTCACTAACTTGTCACTGCTTAGAAAGGCGGCTGAAAGCAGCAACCCCGTCTGTGACTGTTGAGCGAAGCATGAGGATCAAAAGCTCTTGAATTTTGCTTGCAGTGTTGCCCCAGAGCTCTCCTGCAAAGGGAACATTAGACAAGCAGGCACAGGCATAACTTCATCTGAGGAAGTTTCATCGTTATAATTTAAAGTGCCTTCTTATGTGAACAGTGACCTGATATGCAGCACTTTGTCAAAATCTTGGAGGACCTGAGGATTTTGTTAGAGGTAGCTAGCCCTCCTGAGTTTCTTAGAATCAAAGCAATGCTCTTGCAAGTCTGCAACGTAGGTAGACTTTCTGAAGGGTTTTTTTTCAGCCAGTATGTTACAAAGGAGAAACCAGTCTTGAACCCACAACTGGGAAATTGGTTAAAGAGCATACTTGAAAAGATATTGCTCTGTAACCCGTGTGTATCTCTAGCATTCATATCTGGAGTCACAGTTCTATCCCATCCCTCTTAAATGTTGGTGTGAATAGTATACATACATATTTTTATAAAGGTATTTTGCTTCCTTTTCTGATATTTTTTGCTAGGATCCTCATTGTCAGACTCTCACTGATCTTTCTGATTATTCTTCTGCTGAGTGGAGATTCAGCCTGAAGCCAGATGGGCCCCAGAGCCTTGGTTGTCAGTTGCTTGGGTGGTAGGTGCCACTGCTGCCCTTCAGCCTATGTGCCCAGATTTCCTTCCTTTGAAATCAAGGGCCAGGTGTCATCAAGGACCACTAGGGTCCCATCAGGGCCAGGCTACTGTGGGCACCAGGAGTGAGAAGCTCAGAAATGTGCTTAGGGCCTCCAGGGTAGCCAACTCTCATGAGCAATGGCTAATCGGACATATGTCTGCATGTTGTGCCTTTTTTTGACAGAATTATCATCAGTATTTGGGACGGTGGAATTTTGCTAAGGCCTAAAATGTGTTCTTCATACCTCTGTAGACATTTTTCTGGAGTTTGCAGGAAATAAAAATTCAAAAATTGCCTTGTTTTGAATTTTAATGCCCACCCAACTCTGTTGTATTTTATTCAGGAGAAACATTTTTAAAATAAATATTTCAACTGGATGAGTATTCTGTTTTTTATTATTATTATTTCTAGTCTATTAAAGACCTAGTTGCACACATTTATGTAAAAATGATGTATCTATATAACATAATAAACAACATTATAACATTTTTGTGTTAAAAAATTAAAGAACGTTTTATTTCAGGAAGACTGTTGAAATGGTACATTTGAATATGGATTTCTTCTTTATTTTTCCTCCAAAGTAAAATTTCAACAGAATATGTTAAAAATTTTTGCTCTTAAACAAAATAATATTTGTACAACAGAAAATGGTTCAGCTAAGATATTCACCTAGCACTATAAACTCCCATATGTACATATGCATGATTACTAGCATGGAGTAACAAAGCAATAAATTCTGGAGTTGGCTTCCTATTTTGTTGTTTGAATCATCATTGGGGAAGGTTCTTACCTCATATAAGTCAATGTTCCTTCTCTGATTTTCATGTTATAATTTAAACCATCTGAGAAGAAGATTCTACTGATGAAATTATGAGTTTAAATATAAGTAATAATATAACAAGTCTGTATTAATTTAAACTGTATTGTATTCTTACTAGGTTGTTGAAACTTTTTAAGCTTACATTTATCAAAACTTTCTAGAAATATGGGATGAACATCTCATTTTGCGAGGAAAAAGCATGAAATTTGTCAGAACTATGAAAAATCCTGCTCATCTTGTTAGGGAACAATCAAATCTGGAGTAACATCAAAAAAAAAAAAACATACTGAGCATATTAAGGAATATGCCTAAACTGTCTACCCAGTTAGATTCTGTAGTTATTGGTCAGAAAAGTTGTTGATTTTTTCCCCCCATAATGCAAACAACTGGGTCACTAGGAAACAGATTTTGGAAGCTAATGGGTTGAATTTTACTGTACACCTGAACTTGAAATTTTTAAATGCTAAATTGTAAATATTTTACTAATCATTGTATTTTGTGACTTGAACAATATCCAAATTACACTATAAATTAATTACTAAAAATGTGCACTTGGCACAGCTTAGTCAACTTATATAGTTATTCAATTACTTTACTACACCGTGTCTACAGTATTTGCTTCCAAGCAATATGCAACTTAAGCGTTACGGGGAAGATTACCAAATAGTCAAGATTTGGTTTCTGAGTTCTGATTACATATTATATTTCATTTGAAAAATAGAATCATGTTTATTTTAAAGATGGTATGTTTTAGAAAGATTAGAACATACTATGACAATAAAAAAACAATATATACACTATGAACAAATCCTAAGTAAAATCTACATCTGTTCATTGAACTAAAAGATTATTTGAAATAAATGGAACTCAGTTAAATATAAACATTTTTCACAGTAAGGCTGCTTTCTACAAGAAATTGCTTATTCATATGAAGAGAAAACGCTAAGGCTGTATTACTGAGGATGGACCTCAGAGAAGGCCTGAGGAGCCCTGCTGTTCTCAAGAAAAGCTGCCTACACAGAACTATTTGCAGGATGAAGTCTGACACAATTTGGCACATCCTCACTCCTTTATTCCCAGGCACAGTTCCATTACTTTCTCTTTTTGAAGACCTTTAATGCATACAATGAAGCACAAGGTTTCAAACTAGGAGAAGAGCTCCCAAAAGCAATATTTTTTTACAATGAGAATAATGTGCAAAGCATTATATTATTGTCCCTATGGAAATAAGGAATATGTCATCTGACCCTTCATGAGATAAAGACTGTGAGGGAAAAATCTATTTTCTCTGATACCTTGGGAAGAATAATAGCATAGTTTTCACTGGCCCTATGCAATCCATAAGCACAAGGATTGAGCCCAGTCTGTACTGTGGAGTATCACTTGTTCTCTTCCACTCCGAGCAGGAAAAAGGGACTTAATTTAGTCCTGGAAATAAGCCCCAGCTAGACAAACCCTAACTTTAGAAATGATCAGATATTTATTTCATATACTGAATCCGCCCAAGTCATCATAAATTCTGGACAAATAACACAGCCTGGTATCTTATGTGAGTCTAACCATGACAATCTCTCCTTTCATTCAGTCACTCCCCTAAACTGATCAGGATGCGATCAAGGTATGATTCTGTTTTCTAATATCTGCTACATTATACAGATTTTATAACATCACATACATATCATCATTCATTAAAATTGGGAAGCCAGCAAGACAAACTGTAACATTGGATGTTGGCATCAGGCAGGCATTTTGAGATGTTTTGGGATGGTCATTTTCAGCTGCTCCTGAAAAACTGAAGATATTATCCTTAGACTCTACTTTGTCACTATTTTTGTCTTCTTGGTGGCTTTCCTCCTCAATGGTGCACTCTGACTCTTCATATTCTACCTTGTTTTGCACTGTTGCTTGCTCAGTTTTGTCTATCCATTCCTGGAAAAATAAAAAGTTAATGTTGGCAAGTTCTGGGAGGGAGGGAGAAACAGAGGAAGGAAGAAGGAAGGGAAAGGAAGGAAGGAAGGAAGGAAGGCACGAAGGAACGAAGGAAGGAAGGAAGGAAGGCACGAAGGAACGAAGGAAGGAAGGAAGGAAGGCACGAAGGAACGAAGGAAGGAAGGAAGGAAGGCACGAAGGAACGAAGGAAGGAAGGAAGGAAGGCACGAAGGAACGAAGGAAGGAAGGAAGGAAGGCACGAAGGAACGAAGGAAGGAAGGAAGGAAGGCACGAAGGAACGAAGGAAGGAAGGAAGGAAGGCACGAAGGAACGAAGGAAGGAAGGAAGGAAGGCACGAAGGAACGAAGGAAGGAAGGAAGGAAGGCACGAAGGAACGAAGGAAGGAAGGAAGGAAGGCACGAAGGAACGAAGGAAGGAAGGAAGGAAGGCACGAAGGAACGAAGGAAGGAAGGAAGGAAGGCACGAAGGAACGAAGGAAGGAAGGAAGGAAGGCACGAAGGAACGAAGGAAGGAAGGAAGGAAGGCACGAAGGAACGAAGGAAGGAAGGAAGGAAGGCACGAAGGAACGAAGGAAGGAAGGAAGGAAGGCACGAAGGAACGAAGGAAGGAAGGAAGGAAGGCACGAAGGAACGAAGGAAGGAAGGAAGGAAGGCACGAAGGAACGAAGGAAGGAAGGAAGGAAGGAAGTTATACACCTACTAACTATTGAGAAATGTAACCCTCAAGGAATCTTAAATAATCAGAGTCTGTAGAAATCTTTGGATGTGCAAAATTCTTTGTGATCCTTGGTGGAGTTATGCACTGCCCTGACTTAATTCAGATTCAGATTGAGTTTACAAGGAAATCAACACAGCATTGCATCTCTGGATTAATGCTTCGTTATGAATTTGCACTTACATCTTACTCTTTTGTTTTGGTTTTAACATATCTTATGTAAGGAAAATTTTTGGTTTGTCACTGAAAACTCTTTGCACCTCTCTGATGCAAACATTATTACTGTCTTTTGATATTGTCACTTAGTTTGAAAACATTCCTAAATATTTGGCCTGTCTACTTTCAGATGAAACTTAATGGTAAGTTGCATTAAGACAACCCAATTAATACAAAATAATACATCACATATATGATGTCATGGATTTGAGGAACAGTGAAAAGCAAAAGCATAAACTGTGTGGTGTATTCCTTTGATGACTATTCTGTTTCTAAAGGCTCAGTGAGCATAGACCTTTGTGGTAGAAGAGGATGCTACCTGCAACCAAAGATAAAAGCCATTTTTGCCTCAGCTCTAAAGCTCACCACACTTCACAGACATAATGGGGAAGAATCTGCCTCAAAGTGGAAGAAGTTCCCTGAGATGACACAGCCAGGAACAGAAGCAAACTCCATGCTGATATCTCAACAGATGGTGTTGCAGTTTCTCTGGATTCCCAGAGATTCTTCTCTTGAACTTTCTCTGTCTCTTTCTGCAAAAAGTAGTTTATGCAGTGCCAAAGAAGCACTATACAAACAGGATGGTCAATGGCATTTGATCTGGGGATCTGGATGGTCACATCGCACCAGGGAAGAGTTATTCCCATGGGTCAGAGACCACCTATGACAAATGTCAGTGCAAAACACTGGTTTAATTTGCAATTTCCAAATCATTCACAACATCTTACAGTTCACACCCATGCTATGAAAACAACATTTACCTCAAAATTTCCACTATGGTCATTGAAGAGATCAGCAAATACATATTTGGGATCTGGTATAACAGGCATGACTGACTTTTGAAGTCTGTGAAGAAGAAAGAAAAATACATGTTTTCTGTCACATTATATTCATTCATGTATGCCTGTATTACAACAAAGTTTTGTAGCCACTGATATAATTAACATGACAGTCCTCCACGCTTGATATCTTTTAAATGTGTGTTAAAGTTAAAAAGCAATATCGTAAAGCAGTCATTTGATCAGTTTGAAGCCAGGTATGATTTATTCAATAGCAGAATCATAGCAGAATGTTGAGGCCATCAGACTAAGACTGATTTTCTGCTGTCTTCCAACCAATCTCATTCTTGTAAAATTTAGAATGCATTCAGACTTCCAGCTAGTCAGCAAGTGCCATGTTGCTCCATACAATACATAGCTAGAGCTTAAAATTCTCTCTTGACATTCCGTCAAACTGAAAAGGTGGTGCAGCAAACAGCTGCACTGACTTATTTAGAGATCATAAGCACAAAACGAAAAGAGCCTATAAACTAGAAAGGTTATCTGAGTCCCATTTATTTGCAAGCTATTTTCTGCAGTACTTCCTTTGTATTTCCCCCTCACCCCATCACAGGAAGGGGAAAAAAGAAAAAAAATCCGGGCCTTTACAACAGATTTTTTTTTAATTGTGCAAAGAAATGGAAGTCAGTTCAGAAGCATTAGTAAAATAAACTGGCTTCTAAATATTCAGCTTCTGGGAAAGAACAGAGGTGAAGTGAGACAGAATTTTGTCCTGAAGAGTTCCATTATACTAGAATTATTCCCTCTGTTTTTGAAAATGAAAAGTTCTGGGGTTCAGAAGACCAAGATCCATTAGCCCTCAGTGGTAAAAAGGCTACTGACTTCTGCATCTTGATGCTAACTTCATTTTATCAGATAAGAAGCTTAAGTGATAAAAGATTTGACCTTGAATGACCGCTTTATTTTCTTGAAATGAATACGTAGTACTGACCACTAAAATTATACTTACCTCTGCCATTTACACAGAAGAATCACAAGAAGAAATATCATTAGAAGTACTGACAGCGTACAGCTTAGAAGAATTATTGTGTTTGTCCGAGTTTTTATGTCATCATCACATGAATCTAGGAATAATCACACGCACAAAAAAAGTGAAAATTTTCTTGTTTGCTTTAACAGTAATAACTCTTAAATAGAACAGATTTTTTCTTAAAAAAAATCAGGAATAATTAAGACAAATTCAACTGAAGCTGACAAGGAATCCCCAAACCATGCAATAAAATAATATTGAGCTTTCATTTATCTAAACTACCGATGTGCAGGACAAAGGAGGCATCTTAAGGACAAAGGGTGAAAAGGGGTGAAGGTGTTTGGAATGAATCAAATTAAATATTCTTTCTTGTGTCCAACATACCATATTGACAGTGATGCAGCAATTTTAGATGAAAATGTATCTTACATATACAAACTTGCTATCACCAGTGCTTTAAGTGTAAGTGTATATACAGTTTGAATTTCTTATTTCCCAAGAAAAAAAATCCTAATTTCCAAGATAAAACAAACAAACAATGTCTCCTCCCTCCCAACAAACAAAAAGCCCCCAAACCTTATGTCTAGAAAGGAACGAGTGTCAGGACATAATTCAGCACACTAGCATATAAACTAATGCATTTGTGCACCTCTGAGCACTCTCAGTATTTTTCTGCAGCTTTTATAATGCCACCTTAAAACTACTTTATCCTAATGATGTTCTTCTCTCCCAATCGATACTCTAAGAACTAATATGAATTATTCATGCAGGAACAACTGTCCTATAAGCAGTATTCCACAGTCACTTTGTTCCCTACGACAGCCTCTTCCACCTGCTTTTTTTTTGTTCAGCCTGCCAAAAAGCCACAAGAAAAGTTGTGATCTCCCAATAAGGTTTTTGCATTCAGTATTTGTGAAATATCTTGAGCATAGCTTTGTTCATGTTTTTTTCTGATGTTAGATTCAGAGAGAATGCAGACTTATTCACGTCCTGAAGTGAAATGCTTGCCTCAGTAAAGGAACTCCACCAGTACCACTTCTAAACCAGGGGCATCCAGAATAGCTGAACCATGAGTCTGCTTCTTCTCTGCCATCCTCGCAAATGCCTGCAGGCTGCCTACGGTCAAATGGTCCAGGAAGCGCTGACGTGTCCCCTCTCATTGGCCCACAAGAAAGTATCATCCTCTACGTTTTCTGAAGGACACTTGCCAGCAACACCTGAGGACACACTTGCAGATTCACAGACTGCAAGGTAGGTGAGGCTTCCCTTGTGGTTACTGCTAGTGCAGAACACACACATCAGTACTCCAGAATTTCAACACAGCTTTGTGTCTACAGATCTTCAGACGAGCTAATGGTCTTTTGGAGAACTCAGATCTGGATACACTGGACGTCTGTGTGTTTCATATTTTTGGCAAAGCTTTGTGAACAGCATTTTATGGATAGCTGATATGAATGCACTGGGATGTAGTCTACTTCATCAAATCTTTTGGTTTTGATAACTAGTATAAATATGTTTCCACCAGACAGCTAATCCAAGGCAACTGTAATCCAATTGCAATGTGGCTATCTCACGTAAAATGAATTCTGATAATGGCTTTGTGTTCACTTCATCTCTTTTTCCACTATGCCCCCATTTTATTGACGCACTACATTCTCCCAAGAGGGTCTACACATCATTTAGCTGTGCTTTCTGTTCCTGTAATTCAGTTTGATGAACACTTCAAACAAATTGCCATAAAAATGGTGCAATAAGGATTTTCTTAGAGATCAGATTTGTTATGTATATATCATCAGAATGCCTGCTTTGCTATATCCACATGCACATACATACATATATGTATATATACACACACTACATATATATCAGCATACACCAGGAACAATATCATTACTTTCATTGAAGAACACTAAACACAGCTGTAGCACAAAAAGTTTTGGAAATCTTTTTTAACTTTACTGAGCATTGCATAAGTTACTAGCATCAAGGATTATAAGGAACAGTATAGATGGGAATTAAAAATGGGCAATCAGACTTCCATATGAGCTTCTTTTGACAGTGGAAGGGGCAGCATGGTAGAGGGCTATGTTAAATAGATGCACATTTCTATCCTCTTCTTCAGTCATTCTCTCCTCCTGCATTTGCATTTAGAGAATATATGAATGAAGCACAGCTGTTACCTAATGATATGCCATTCATCCAAAATGTTTCTGCTTCCCAGTCACTGCTGTAATTAACTACGTTGCAGTGAGGTACTAGCCTCTTCAGTCTGACCCGAAAAGAATAGCATTTCCTTGGGTCAAAGCCTTGCTCTCCAACACTGCAACACCTAGAAATTTTGGACTGAGAAGGAAAGTATATTATCATTATTTCTGGTTCAAAAAAGAGTTTCAGAATGCTTTATCATGATTATAGTAAGAATAAGTGACAGGCCAACCCGAAACCCCAACGTCAAATTTTAACTTCTCAGAATTTTGAGGAACTCCATTTCTTGACTGATTCCTTCCCATTGATACACATTCCATTCATACGCATTCCTCATTGTTTGATGCTGAGTTGAGGGACATGAGAGTCAATCCACATAGTACTTACTTATTTGTAATATATAAAACACACTTCAAGTTATATATATATATATATATATATATGTGATATATGTGATATATGTGATATATGTGATATATGTGATATATGTGATATATGTGAGCCTGGAAAGATTTAAGTCAATGAAATAATATTATAATTAATATCTAACTTCAAAATAAATAAAAATACTCTTTCAGTCATCTCTTCTTTCATTCTATTTCCTGTTGTTTCTCCCTTCTTTTCTTTTTCTACCTTGCTTTCTGTCAATATCCCCCAAGACTTTCCTATTCTGAATAAATTTATATAGTCCTCAGCTCTTTCTATAAGCTCGAAATTATAACTCAAAATTATAGAAATGTGTTCTAGATATCAAAATGCTTTCTGCTACCAGGTATTTTTAAAGTATGGGGTAGGAGGACAATATGAAAATGACTCTGTTTTACACTCTATGGCGATGATATTTCCAGCTTCTTCCACAATTATTTAAAAAGCCACGTCCAACTCACTTGCCACTCTTTATCAAACTTGCTTTTATACTGAAGCTCAAGTCTCAAGCAGATCACAGCTCTCTTTGGTTCATTACAGCTTACAGTAACAGTGTCATCTTTCCACAAGAAGGTCACATTTTCTGGTCGGCTTGGCTTTACTAAGAACAAAGGAAACAAATTATGTAATAATCTCTTAAAATTAATTTCTTCAAAAAAGTTTAAATCACTGTGCTTTCTTCTTTCTCTCATCCCTTCTCTGAATAGTGAGCCAAGAAGGTGGCCAGTCTTCTTGAAGGATGTGCTTTTGCAGTTGACCTTCTTACTGAACAACAAAATGAAGTCTGGCACTTCATGGCATGACACCATTCTCCATTCAAAGTTCACTGTTTACAAGTAGATACCAACTCACTTCATGAACTTGTTGCAAATACTTAAGTAAGGACTCTAGGACCTCCAAGCTAAAGTAGTTATAGATATCATTTTATGTCATGTGTTTCAGTTGCCTAAATATAGGCAAACACTGGAATGGATCCAGCAAATACTGTACAGTATAACCAACAGGGCACACATGGGCATCTGAATGGATGGTACTGGGACATTACCTGTGATTACAGCTGAAACTACTCCTCACTGTTTTCATATGGTCCAAAGAAAAGGCAATCTTTTGACCTGTGTGATTGGATAGTCTTCAGCAAGAAAAACATTATTTGCTTCTTTGATCCTTCTATATCCTTTTGCATATTATAAATGCCCTGACTTTTTATCTTTGAGACTTAAGTCTGGTCTCTGTTTGTTGTTGTTGTTGTTGTTGTTGTTGTTGTTTTCTAACTCTCTTGAAACTCATGTTTACATCAGTGGTATTTAATTGCCTGAGTTTACTGCTCCAGCTTTCCTTGAGCTGTTAGATATTGATATAATTATGAGATGTAAAGCACTCCCAAGGACAGTTACCGTGACTAAAAGGATTGATTAATCCTTTTAGCTAAAGAATAAGTACTAATAATATATTTGGAAGATAATGACTTTGATAAATGATGCCTGGTACATTTCATCTTCTGCATGATTTTTATCAAAAAAATCGATTCACTTTAAACATTGTTACTACATGCAATTTCAGATAATGCCAATAAAATCATCTCATAATGATGGAAAATATGTATTTTGAGGGAAATTAATAGAAACAGGATCATGAGATCCCTACTAGCAATCAGGAGAATGTGCCTTTTATTCTGTCAGACTATAACAGAGCCACTTAATTAATTTCTTCTGAAATCTTTTGACGATTTCACCACAGTCTCTTGGATTAGAAATAGTTGGTTGCATCACATCTTGTGGAGAATGGCAAAGGAATGAAAGGTTAGAAATACAGGGCACATAACATCTATCTTATGAGGAAAAACTAAGCGAGCTAGGCCTGTTTAGCCTGGAGAAAAGATGATTGAGAGGGGATCTGATCAATATGTACAAATACCTGAGGGGAGAATATAAAGAGGATGGGGCCAAACTTTTCTCCATTGTAGAAAGCAGTAGAACAAGCGGTAATGTGCACAAACTGAAACATAGGAAGTTTCGTCTGCATATGGGGAAGAACTTCTTTGTTGTGAGGGTGACGGAGCCCTGGAACAGGCTGCCCAGAGAGTTTGTGGAGTCTCCTTCTTTAGAGATCTTCCGAACTCGCCTGGATGCCACCCTGTGCCATGTACTCTAGGTGTCCCTGCTAGAGCAGGCGGGGATTGGACTGGATGATCTCTAGAGGTCCCTTCCAACTTCAACCACTCTGTGATTCTGTGACAAGAAGGCTGGAACTAACACAAGAAATTATCAACTTTTATTCATGTTCCTGGTATGTTCCTAGCCTACTGAGCAAGTCTGTCCTAATCCATGCACACTCACATATTTGATTATTTTAATTTTAGTTCTGAAAATGAGTTTTAGGGCAAATCTTTCTATGTTATTTAATCCGACTTAGCTACAGCTGCCTATGTAAAAGCTGATGAAAGCATGGGATGAAAATCACCCTTGGTAATTCCAAAGAACTGCAGTTTGTTTTTGGCATACATGTTTTATGCAATTTATTTCCTCTCAGACTACAGACAACTAAAGAAATCAATCCAGATACTAGGACTATGAAAAGACATGTTGCATACTTACTATAAAAGTCAGATTTTAGTCTTTTAGAAAAAAGCTCTTTGCTTCCATTACTGTTCATGATTGAGATGGTAAGGGTTGAGCCTTCTGTCTTAAACTGACATCCAGAATTAAAACCTTGATGCAACAGGTAGGTGGGACATGGCTTCCAAATGTTGTGCTGTCCGCATTAAATCTACAAATGAAAAAAAAAAATGGTGGATGAAGATACTGTGTTATTTGTTAACATGAATTCCTTGCTTAATCATTTTTTTTTCTTTAATGCTCCTACAAAGGGAAGTCTGCATAAGGAACTTCTTGAAGCTGGAAATTTCACAGTGCGTTGAGGAATTCAGGACCAAAACCTCATTGGCTTGCCAGTTCTTGTTTTTGGTGAGGAACGAAATTTTCAAGTTTCTTTCAGGTTCTTTTTTTGCTAATAAAATAATGCCATGCTTAAACAGATGTGGATTTTATGTTCCTGTTTCCCAAGCTGTACTGCTAAAAGTTATTTCTAAAAGGAAAGATCAAACTGTGTCTGCCTTTAATCAAAATGTTAAATTAATTAAGTCAGTTAATAAGTAAAATAGACACATATGGAAAAACATAATCAGCAGTGTAATTAAGATAATGACAAATCAGGAGACAAGGTTTTCTTATACTGTCTGCTATGAATCACTATTCAGCAGGTTTACTGATTCATGCACTTTTTCTGCAGCGTGTGAACAGAAGTTTCCTGCTGGATGATTAGAAAAAAAATTAAAAACATTTTTGTGTCACAGATGACTCAGATGGACTGAACTATTACAGTCTTCTAGAGTAGATCCTTCAACGAAAGAGAAATAGATGTTATCAGTACTCACGTATAAGAAAATGACACATTCTCGCCGGGAAGTAATTCTGTTGCTGCCCATGTGATCCGCATCTTCTCATTATTGAAATTGACTATAGTGATGTTGTTGGTATCTTTCCAACCTGTCCCAGTACATTGACAGAGAACATCGTTTAACCAGTCGCTATCAAAAGCCTTGCTTGTCATTTGTAGGCAGTCAACATTTCAAAGATAATTATGCCAAAGACTCAGATAAGTATAAAATAAGAAGAAGTAAGAATAGCTACAAAGCCGGGAAACAGGATAAAATAACCTAGATATGTTGAAACTAAGACTGTAAAATAACAACATGAAAACACACATAGCAACATGACAGAGCCCCGTGGTCCTCGGACCAAATGGTATAGACCAGCCTACATGTACACAGTGCATAGGGCATAAGTCTTGAGGCCGCCTGTCATCCATAATATCTTAAATTTTCCTGCTAAGCAAAACTATTTGGGAGCTCCTGCCAAGTGGAACCTGTATGTAAGCTGTCTAATGTTTACTTTAAGAAACAAGGGAATTGCACTGTAAATCAAGGCCAAATGAGTAGTTCAGAAGCATCCATAGTAACCTAGAGCAGATCAGCATAAATGAGTGAACTGTGTACTTTATGTTGTTCTGGCCAATCTCACCTCAGAGAATTTCTCAAAGCAAGGTCATTTAATGTTTTGTGACGACACAAAGGTATCATTCCCTTTCCTATTCTTATCATTATTGCTTTCCCTCTTGCTAGGCAGTTAGGTCTTTTAATTCTATGAGGATTCTACAATCAGATATTGAAGGTAACTCTTACATCAAAAAGTGGGAAAATAAGCTGCCAGAAGAATTGGAAGTGCAGGATATATCAAGGAAAACATGTTATTTACTCTGACTTCTCTAAAATATGTAATTATGTTTAGCTGAATGAACAGAGAGAAGGAAAATTCATCTTGAATATCAGCAACAAGCCACTTGAGGCTGAAATATATAGACTGTTCTCTCTAGACAAGAAGGACCAACCACTCAAAACTTCTGCAGAAGCACTTCTGCCTAGCAGGAGATTAGTCTTTTGGCTCTGATTCGTTTACATTTTATGCCACTCTGGCATTTTGAAGGGTCTTAGAATTTTTATAACAAAAATTTAATAATATTTCTTATAAGCTGTTTAGCAAAGTCAGGCCAAAATACCTTCAAGATTGTTATATTTTGGCTGACTAATGAACATTAGGAATGTGAAAAAGTTATTTGGAAAGACCTTGGTTCAAATAACCATGTTGCTTAATTAATTTCAGTGCTGCATGTCTCTATGTGTCTAATGGCTTCTGTAATTAAGATTAGTCAGAACATCTCTTTTTAGAGATATTGTGTCATAGTATGTTGTTTGCCACAATCATTCTGGAGACAATTTTGACAGAATTCCAAGAAGGACCAAGTAATCTGCTGGTTAGGTCAAGTGCCTAGACTTGGACCTAAACACAAACAAACAAACAAACAAAGATTATGCTACTACTCAAGAGAAAGACTCAAGAGAAAGAGAAAAACCAAAACACATCTTAACTAATGGCTATAGGATTGTATTGATTTCTCCAATGGAAAATCTCATATGCTTTTCTGATGAATGAAGAAGTCAATCTAATTCCACCCTGAAAAAAAATCAAATTTTCTAGGTCTTAAAAGTTATCATTAAATGGAGTGTATCCAGTCAACTCTAGCTCTTGTCTCCTATTTCTCAAGGTCCATATAATCCTCTGCACATGTTTAAAGGGGTCGTCTTGCCTTTAACTGAAACCACTAAAGAGTATGATGATAAGGGTGCCCAAGAATGGTTTATTGATCTACAAACACACCATCGTGTTTTTATTTTTTAGGGACAAAATTCTGATATGACTGTGCTGTGCCATATATATCATTAGGGTTAGTGTAACTGAAATCCACAAGACTACTTAAATTAAGATTTAGATATTTTATAAATAATAGTTTAAATAGTTAAATGTATTTACAATACGATGTCTCACCTTCAAAATAAAACTATCATAATTTTTTTAAAACAATACAAGTATCATTGTATGAAGAATATTATACTATACTCCTTCAAGATCCTTTTTATAATTATAGAATAAATCTTTGTAAATCCCTTTAGAAACATCTGAACTTTCCACTTTATTATAATTAGTCTGATTGCAAGAACTGTTAACATATTAGAAAACAATGTTTTTCTAAGCATTGTAAAAAAGAGTGCTTGCATACTTTATCACATATTTTTAAGGATATGTGAATTTCAAAATTCATTCACTATTCTGTTGCTATGAGCATGATTGTTAAGCACAATGACAGGTGGCAAAATGATGCTCATAGGGCATCTTCTTGGATCACTTTTAAAATTAAGTATGAAGGAGATAGTGAAGTTTAGTTTTAGAAGGTGGTTCAGCTTCTCCACACAGAGTTATGTACACAGGTCCTTCTGTGCTTCACAAAAAGGTTTGAACGGGCACCTACTCTGACCAATAGGACATAACGAAGAGTGAATGTGTTTTAAGAGTGCTCTCTACAAATAATCCAAGCTGTACGTAGGACCGTATCAGAGAAAGTTCAGTTCAAAATTCTCACCTAGACTTGGGCACCTAGACAGCCACTTTGAAAAACACAGCAGAGATTTTTCTATTACTGGGCGGGTGGACCCAGTGCCCTGCACTTATCCTGCTATTCATTAACCCTGAAGTAGCAAGGCCCCTGGACATGAAAGATCTGCTTTCAGTGAACTCTGCTGTTAATCAAATGATCCTGGTTGTAGAGACAAATAATAAGGAAACCAGAGGGACAGCACTGCCCACCCACTGAAAGGAGGGGAGGCTCAGTAAAACCTGAAGGTCAGATCTGAGTGACTTGTTGGAGCTCATCAAAAACTACCAGTTCATTCTGGTCCACGGATAACACTATTTATTTGTTTGTTTGTTTATTTGTTTGAGTTATAGTAAGATAGCTATTTATTAAAGGCTGCACATCTGTGATGCACACTAACTCCTGGTTTGGGCAGTATGTGTTTTTTGGATGACATAGAAGCATGTTGATTTTGCTCCAGTCCTCCAGTGATTTACAGGTGGACTTAACTTTACACACACTGAGTAGTCTGCTTGACTTCAGTAGGATTACTCAAAGCACACAAACTTAACCATACACATAAATCTTTCTAGAATTAGATCCTTTCTCTGGGAAGAAAAAAAAAAAAACCCTACATATTATGAATTGGAACTCTGGGATTTTGACATTTAAATTCATCCTCTAGCAAGTGCAGTTATTTAGGCGCACACGTTATTAAATACTCTAAAAATAAATAGAACCATTTAATAGAAATGGGACGGGACTGTAATAAATTCTTTGTTGACATATACACATTCTTTCATGTACTCTAGTTTCTAAGAACTTCATAAGAAAGCAGTGTTAATGTAATCAATTACTTTGAAATGCATATGCCTATGCAGAATAAATTTAAAAGGCTTAAAAAATAACATTTATTATTAAAGCTTGTCCTTTTAGAGCTCCAGTCATCACAGTTTCTGCTATACTTTCTCATTTCATGTATTGTCTAGCCCTTTTGAATATAGTATGAGCTGTTTTGTGCAGGTATTCTCTCATTAAACATGTGTGTGTGTGTCTTTTCAAATCACAGCATAAATATGTTGCATCATCCACATTTTTTCGCTCTTTCAGCAGGTAAGGATGCGAATCCTAACTAGAATAGTATTCTTTTTCTTTTTGTGAAACACCTATACTTTTGGAGGCAGAATATTTTCATCATTTGTTAATGGAAAATAATAAAGAGAATAGGAATAAAATGGAAAAGAATAAAGAATAGTAAAGAGAAAGAGAAAAGTAGGGCGCATTTCTTCCCTTTATAATGGATCTTTTATGACTACACCCATAACACCTTGGATGTTTCTTCGTTAATGTGGCAGTTCATCAATAGCAATTTTAATTATTTAAAGCATGTTTCTATTCATGACCCTATTGTTAAACAGCAGCCCAAAGTAACACATTTATCATTATTCTTGACTTTAATTATTTTAAATGTTATGATAATGGATAGATGAAAAGATCAAAAGTACAAGGAAGAAGTTGTTCTGGGCTAAAGAAGACTGACAACTCCTTTCTGTCAGAACCTGCCTTGCTGGTGTGACAACTTAAACTACACTGCAGTGCTATAGGACATTTCCAGTGCCTTGGGACATGAGAAATCTCTATGTTTAAATCCCAGGTAAAGCTGGTGGAAACCAGTAAGGCTCCACACAGCACCTAAACCTCACAGCTGGTGCTGAGCACTTAGCTCTTCTTGGGACAGCAAAGCATGGAAAATATCACCATTGCACATGTAGAAAGTATTTTCACAAGGGGAAAAAAAGGAGATTTCCTTGCATAATAAATTTTGCGTCAGAGGCATGAGAAAGAGTACAGGCAAGTACCTCCAAATCACCTTTCAAAGATTATTACTAAAAAACAAAACAAAACAAACCTATAAACGGGAACATTATAAAAAGTCTGAATGTAGTGGAACAGATCAAAAAAGAGAGAAAAAAGGAGTGAAAAAAAAAATCTTAATCTGCAAAGATAACAGAATGGAACATAAATGTACTGGAACTGTTGTAACCTCATTGAAACATTACAAAGAAGAAAAGCCACTTTTGATTTCCTTACATTGATGAAACCTGATAAGTAACCACATGTTGAACTTCCACATGTTGCAGCACACTGCACAGAAACAACTGGAGAGCAAGACTGATCTGAGTCTACAGTCTTAGATTCACTTAGTACTACTCATCGATGAGAACATTTTCATTTCAGTAACAGGAACAAATGTAGGCGAAAGTGCAGCTCTGTGTGCATAAGATTACTGAATTGAATATGCGGGGGAGAGACTAAATAGAGGAACAAGACAGCCAAAGATAGATTTATATAGATGTATTTTGAAACAAGGCATATTTCTTATAACAAAATCCTTATATAAGATCTAATCCAATTTTTGTTGCTTTTTTTTTTTTTTACTGGAAAATGATGTGGCTAATGACAAGCAGACATCACCACATTTTGCATTAAGTAACCCCCACAACTGTAGTTTTCAGCTGTCATCCCACGAAGTACTTGCCATCAGTAACTGCCATCCTCCAGCAGCACGGCTGTAGCATGCTGCTCTCTCAGGACAGTGGGACGAGTTGCATCCACTCACAGGCGTGCAGGTGTTATCACAGCAGCAATTAACACTGGAGAACCAGGCAGTAGTGCATACCCGAAAATGGTACTTACTGTATATACAGCAGAAAAGAGAGCTGATTTATAGGCTGATGAGTACTTTAAAGTGCTTCTTTCTCCTTACAAAGTTAATGAATGACAGGCATCTTATGATAAATTGGCAAACCTGAAGATTAGATTGTCAGTCCTGACTTTGGGTTCTGTATTAGATTTCTGCATGAATCCACTTATTTTTAACATAGTGTAAGTAATGGCACTGTAAACTAACACATGAGATAGAGATGTTCTTATATTTAGGTAGCCAAGTAACCAGACTTCAATGTCTTTTTGAATTTTCCTCTCTAGTAATATTCTTACCTTACTATTTTCTCAGATACAAGATGTTATTCGTATTTCGCATCTTGCTCAGTCTTCCAGAACAATAAATTTTAAGTCTTACCTGAAATCTGTTTTATCCATCTTTGGTCAAGGAGAAGCTTGTAGTCTTTTTAAAAGTCTTACATTAAAATCTATGTCTTAGACAGCAAACACCCATGCTTAAAAATTTGAATATTTCTTTCTTTAACATTAAACATGATATTACTGTCTTCTTCCTTCATTTTTAATTGGGGACCATTCAAAAAATGTGTTGTAATCATTTTCTGTTTTGTTTGAATGATTCTTTTCATCAGAAAAGTACTGAACATTCTAACATGAGGTATCCACAGAAATCCTACTAGATAATATTTACATTCCTTAAATAAATACCTGCAGATTGAACTTACCAGATGATTGTGACTGAGAGGCCACCAGGTTGCCCAATGTGAAGATCACTGAACATACTTCGAAGGTTAGTCTCATGGTTGGAATGACACAACAGACTGTGAAGAAATGAGTAATTGTAAACTCTGGACTTATCACTTGATCGTTTTATACAAGAGACTGGAGGGAACTAGAGGAAATGACTACAGGAAATTTTTTTAAAAATTTACATAGCTCCAGCTATAAAAAATCATACAGAACTTCTGTATGCACACCTTTTTCATATTATAGATATAAAAAAAGAAAAATATTTCCCAGAATACCAGTGTCTCTATCTTGGAAATACTTTGCTTGTTCTATCTTTAAACATTTTTCAGAGGTCATCACAGCACTGATCTGAAAGGGATGCCTGGGTAGCTGTGATCATATCATACCGTGCATAGCCACCCTGACCTAAGGGTACCCAATGACATGAGGTTGAGGGAGGTATAAGCTGCCTACTTCCCCTGTTATTAGCTGGCACTCAATTTATTAGCATATGTTTATACTGTCACTCTATGTGCCTGGTGCTTGATAGCTTGAGCAACCTCTTTCCCATATTGGAGGCAGGAATAGGGGGTCTGATGATCTGGGGGAGCTGAGCTGTTGGGGTAAGCAGGTTCTTAGGAAGAGGTAGCACTACAATCTGTTTTCTCCTATAGTACCTAAACACACTTATAACCTACTGCTATCACTTCCAAATCTATCCACATCGACATACTTAGCATTATATATTATTATATTACACCCATATTTTAGATATCCATACACTGAACATTATACATATGAAGAGGGATATGAGGAGTAACGTGTTGCCCAAGATTAAACATATTTTAACTGGGCAGAGCTTAGACTATGTCTATGTACTAAGTAGAGCAGCTCAGCAGACAAACTGTGGGCTGAAACCGTTGGGACTGAAGACTGAAGAGCCGCATGGCGTGTACAGACAGGAGCGTTTCCTAGACTAGCTCTGGTCCAGCCCCATGGGCTGAATGCCCATTAGCAGCCAATGTCCGTCAGGGGCCCCCACCTGCAGTATATCTTCTGTTTTAGGCTCAACAAGAGGAACCCAGTTCCCCGGCTCCACTGTGTAAATAAAAACATAGGAATAACCAAGAGATTCACTTCACAAGCATTGTCGCAATGTGAACTGAGGAGCCAGTGTGGCCCAGCCTGGCACCCCTCTCCAGATAGAGCCACAGGAGACCACACTCAGTGCCAACGTACTCTCTTCCCCGGACTTACTGACTGCTCCCTTGACGTCCTGGTAGAGATTTAGAGTTCACACGTCTAGGGACGCATGAAACAGGCAGGCACACAGACTTCCTTTATATCCAATCTCCCCTTACCTTAAGCGCCAGAGAAAAATAAGCTACTCTACAAATCACCAGAAAAAAAATAAACAAATGGTAAGCTTTAATTCCTATCTATATTTCCCAGTTGTTCTGTGTGTTTGAACAGAAAAGTCATTTTTTAAAAAGTACAGGATGCTTCTCATGCAGAGATAAATTATCTGTTCCTACAGATAAATCACTCAGGAATGCTGCTAAAGTATCCTGTGCATGTGTACTGTACAATGTGCTGGAGTACATAAGAGATCCGTTCTCCTAGACTCCTTATCACATCAAGTTTATTTTCCATTAAATTAAGCAGTTTAGGAAGTTTATCTGTTACATGTCACACAAGACAGGGAACTGAGCTGTGCTTGGGAATACACCCAGAAGTGCTTCCATGGTACATGTTTTTGTTTTTTCATAACTTCTGCTAAAATGGTCACTGTCCTTTTTAAACCAACAACACTGTTTGTCAGATCAATCAACTTGTCTTTATCAGTCTTCAGACAGCTGACATAAGCTTTGATCTGTCTATTCAGTTTGCTTAGAGTGGCTGCCTTCAGTGCCATGTCCATTTTATGTCCCAGAAAAACACATTTAGATCTCAGTGAGTCTTGGAAACCCCATGGCACTGTATGATTGCATCAGAGTCAGGATGTGCACACACTAGCCTGCTGCCTGTCTATTCCTTATTTTGACCAACTTCCTCTGGGGAAACATTAATTCCTAGAAATAAATAATGAGCAGCACAGAGCTGAAATGCTGAACTAAACTGCAGATTACAGTTAATAGAAAGCTGAAATCTCTCACTGTTTCTACAGTCAGCAGTGCAGAGCCAGTGTGACAAGCAGATGATGGCACAGGGACAGAATCTTCTGATTCTCTGGGACAGGGTGATTCTGATGTCCCCATTTGAGCTAAAAGCACATTTTCCTTCCAGAACATGTGCCTTCTGCCTCCAGTGGAGCGTGGTGAAGCCTGATTTACCCCATCCTGCTTTTTATTTGTCTAAAACACACTGGACTGCAGATCTCCTAACATAGTTCACTCTTTGTGGGAAGAGAAAAATACCAAGTGAAGATATTTAAAGCCCTCGTGGCTTATAGTTAGTCCTAGATGATTTTGACATACTAAAATCTGAAATCAAACTCTAATTATCAAGAGACGACAGCCCATTTTCTTCAAGATATCTTGGTATCAAGAAGTTGTCCCTCCCACTGACCTCTAATTTCCTTTTCTTCTCTTTGTAAAGGGAAGGACCTTTACTGAGGACCTCTTAAAGTCAAATCAAAGTACTCCTACTCTTGAAACAAAACCTAGCGCTGAGAACCTAGGGAAAAAAAAAAGTCAGACAAACAAGCAGTCTCCACAAAGCTGAAGTAGCAGCAGTTGAGATATTTTTGCAGCTGCTGAGAGAGGCTTGGGACTAAATAGGCATAAGGCCTGAGCACGTCCCTGCTCACTGCCGCACAGTGAGTTATTTGTTCAGCCACCTGCCTTATGATCCTCCTGCCCTCTTCATACCTTGCTGGACATGCGTCCGCTTCATCTTTTCTTGAAGCCACCTCTGATTGCCTGTTTTTTTTTATTTTTTCAAATATGGATAGTCAGGGTCCACACACTGAACAGTTGCTTGTGAGCCAGGAGTTCTACCCCCTCGGTGCAGTCAGGCACATTCCCCAAGGGCATCTTCTGCTTCTGTGGGTGTACGTAATTGATTAACCTGCCCACACCCTCTTGGCCATTGCTCCCATGGGAGCACATGGCCAGAGTTCTGTCACATCGTGCCTCCTCTTTAGGGCTCCCACGTGTCACTGGAATGTTTATCTTGAGAAAACAAGTTCTATCCTAAAATTGCAGCTTCATTCAGGAAAAGGGAAAGCAAAGAACAACAAGAGCAAGTTGGTAATTAGCAGCCAGAGATGAGTAACTTTGACTGTCACCTGTGACTAACTTAGAACAGCACCCAAAGAATGAGGACAGAGACTTTTCCTCCATGACTTGACCTAAAATTTTTGCAAGTGAATCAAAAGTCCTTTTGACTTCTTTCTGCACTTCAGCTCAAACCACACAAACAACCGTTGGCCCTCTGCCAGCTCCTCCACCCATGTTAGCAGCTCTCAGGCTGGTTCACCTACCAGTTTTGATCTCCAGCATCCTTAGTTACTTTCATTACCTTACTTCCTCAGCTTTTTATTCTCCTTTCTATAATGTCACCAGCAAAATGGTTCTTTGATCACCTGTCACCATAGTATATGTCTTCCTTCATTTAGAATCTAAACAAACAATAACCTGTGAGTAAATCTCTTCTAATTCTACTTACTTACTCATGGCCAGGTTAACAGACTCCAAAAAAGAGTCGATGAAATAACAAAAATCTTTCCCCCCCCGCCCCACTGCTGATTCCCTACATCAACAGGAAGTGTGCTTACTGTCAAAGGGAAGATGATCCATCAATAGAAAACAGTAGGCTCATTACCATGTGTCAAATCAGCTGAGCCAATTGGAGTCAATGAAATCTGTTGTCCTAGCAGGTGAATCAGATTTCCAATTCTACTATGCTGCAAAGGGCATGTATACTGTATTTTTTTGAATCCATCCACAGAATAAGCATGATTAGCCATTGCAAAAAGCAGATTGGCCAAAATAATTCAGTGGGAGGATTAATCATCAAGACTCCCTGGTGCTCTTAAAACTCAAGATTCTGTGAAATCTCTTTAAAAAGTGCTTCTTGGTTGGCCTTTCTTCTCCTCACTATAGCTTGGCGTGTCCCAGGCTCCTTTACATATGACAAAACAGCAATGAAGAAAAACGCAGGACATTTCAGCACACCACTTTGCATTTTATTGGAACAGTTCTGGTCCTTCCCTACCTCCCGTTTTTAGGGCATGGTAGAGTGAGAAAAGGTAGAGAGGAGAGCTGCAAAGCTCACCGGTGTTTGTAAGTGGAAAGACTGAATGAAGTGATGGCTTTTTGAGTGTGGAAAAGAGATGACTAAGTGGAGAATGAACAAAAGTGTAAAAGTTCATGAATATGGAGGTGGTGACTAAAGAGTGACTGTCTGGCTTTTCTCACAACTTGGGACATCCTGACAAAGTTATGTATGAGGCAGAAATATTAGAACAAAAATTAAGAAATACTTTTTCTGAGAACATAGCTTCAAACTGCAGATCTTGTTCTGCAGAGAGCAAGCTGAAGCTTGGCAGGTGAAACTATATTGTTGATAGGACTGAAGATGGCAATATGTACAACACTAGTAAGGGTGAGCTAAGAGTAGGCAGACAGTGGGTGGAAACTGAAGGAGAAAGAAATATCACTTTCTTTCATAATGAATAGGACTTTTGTATAATCAAAGAGGGGATGGCTGGCAGTCTGAAATTATAATCAAATAAGGAACAAACTGCACCAAGTGGGGACTGAGTCATAGATATTAATATCAGGCTGTGATCAAGAGATCTGACTTCTTATTGTACAAAAATGCCAGGCAATTTTATCTATAAATCCTGCCCTGGAATGTCGTCATTTTCAGTGTCTGAAAATGAACATACCATCACATATTCCTTTCTCTGGACAGAACTGAAACAGTCAGATCCAAGTTCCAGGTGGGTTTGAATATGGTCATTTAAAATCACAGAATCACAGAATCGCAGAATGGTTGAGGTTGGAAGGGACCTCTAGAGATCATCTAGTCCAACCCCCCTGCTCCAGCAGGGACACCTAGAGCACGTGGCACAGGGCGGCATCCAGGGGAGTTTTGAATATCTCCAGAGGAGACTCCACCCATTGCCCCTTGTTCTGTAGCTGGCCACCACGAAAAGAGTTTAGCTCCATCCCCTTTATATTCTCCCCACCCCCTGTATTTGCTGTGTTGTTAAGACCCACCCGTCCCCCCTCCCCACTCCAAATTCTCCTCTTCTCCAGGGTAAACAGGCCTAGCTCACTTAGTCTTTCCTCATAAGAGAGATGCTTTAATCTCTTAACCAACTTTGTCACTCTATGCTGGACCCTTTCTAGAAGTTCCACATTCCTCTTGTATTTGGGAGCCTTGAATTGCATGCAGTGTTCCAGATGTGACTTCACCAGCTGCAGTAACTTGATCTGAAGTATGAAAAAATGTTTAACTATTATTGTGCGTGCACCTCTCTAGCCTCTCTAGCTCACATGCCTCTCTAGCTTTAAAATGCAAGCCAGCTTACTTACAGATCCTGTACATGATTGCACTACAAAGCTTTATCACTGAAGAGCACTGAAGGTTTCCTGCTACTTTGCACTGACTTGCACGATATCATTACAATCTGCCCAACAATACGTTGCTCTCTGAATTTATTGGAGACTTTGAGCTTTCATTCATTCTGAGGCACTGCTTGTAAGTAGCAGCCACAGTAAGCAAATAGTCAAAGCTATGAACTCACCAGAAAGATTGCAGAGAGTCTGTGCATGTGTAAAAGTCTGATTTGTAGTCATTTGTACCAATGTCATTCTCATAGAGTACCTCTCTGTACCTGCCTCATACTTAATTGCCACACACAACAGTGACTGTAACAAATAAGGGCAGCATTAATCCAGACTCCCTACATACTATATCAGTAGGTAGAACTGTATCACGCAAAATTATTTCAGAAGATCATTTACAGCTGCAAAATGAGTATCCCAAAGTTGGCATTTCAGAATGAAAGGTGATATATAATCTATATCTTTTATTTTGTGTGCGTGTGTTTGTGTGCATGCTTCTAAATACAGTTTCTATCTAGTTGGCCATAGACAGATGGACCTAGCAGGCAGGAAGAAGCTGCTTTGTGAAAGGACCTGGGCTTGGACTCTTATTTGTCTGTTTCTGTTTAATATCCTAAAGAATGAAGTGTATGAATCTGAGTATGAATGAATGTGAGTTCTGCAGAAATGAAGAGGAGGATGTCCAGATAAGGATAGTCACATGCTATGCAGGACAATTGTCTGTGAACTGAAAGTTCCTCATTTTGATAAGGTCTATTACTGATACAAATGACTCACATATAGAATTTTGGGTCAAGCTCTCAACTTAAAAAAAAAAGCATGCTTGGCCATTGCAAAGAACAGATCGGTGTGAATATTTGAATGGAAGGAAATAAAAACTTTGGTCTTAAAAAAAAAAAGACTGAAAGTGAATCTCTCCTAAATAAAATCTGATAAAATCAAGCACCAGACATTAAAAAAAAAGAATAGTTCAAAATATAAAGTACTGAAAAAAGCTAAAGTCTTTTAAGTGGGCATGTTCAACAATCTGTCTACTAGCTGGAGTTACGTGCTTCATTTATAACAATTCCTTTAAAGAATCTATTTTTTTTTTCACTTTGTTCAATGTCATGCCTGTGCATCCATAGAATATACGTAATAAGTTCTACATTTCTGGTTTTAATATTTTTATTTTCTAGGGAAGAAAACAACAGAGTTATAAAGGAAGGAGTTAAAATTAACCTAATTCCTTTTTTGGAATATCCTGGTTCTGTGTGTGTGTGTTCTGCATCAAATTCATATCTGACTGCCAGTTACACTTTTCTTTCTCTGAGTCTAAATTATGTTAATATCATGCTTAGGGCATTTCAACTTCAAATTAATATATTGCCCTGTCCCGATCTTTAAAATATTAATAATTTAAAAAGACAACACAACTTTTACTGTAAAATCTATAGAAATCTACAGGAGAGTGAAGAGAAATTGTATAAGAAAGCTTAATTAAAATGATTTCTTGATTACAAAATTCTTAAGATTAGAAACTAATAGTGCTTTATATGACTTCCAGTTTGAAGAAAGCTGCTTTTTTTCATCTCCCATCACTGAGTATTCTGATATCTTTTTGAAATTTCCAGTCCTCTGGCATCTTCCTTTCCAGGAAGACCCTGGGAACACACAGAGAGTTTGTTTTCTTCTTTCCTAGCAAAAGATAGACCTTCAGCTACCATGTAACGATTATGTGTGACTGGCAGGAAAGATTGGACTTTATTCATGTACCCTAGAAGCAGAGTAAAAAGGCTAAGCGGAATGCAGCTTCAACTAGATGTCAGCACAGAGCTGTGAGAGTTGGTTCTGACTTATTAAAGAATATGGATATGCAGTTGCAGAGAGGAAATTATGGAGAATTAAATGGGAAACCTAAATAATCATATGTAGTCTGGAAGGAAATGAAGTTTTATTAAATTTACTAATCCCTTCCTTGCAAGGTAAATAAGCAAGGAAAGTATAAGATTTGGTCATGATTTGCATTTGTACAGCATAGGTACTCATCTGCTCCCGTGTTGCGTGAGGGCTGAATGCACTAGAAAAGTGGGTAAGTGGGTGGACAGGCTAGAGAATTTTTCCTGCAAGATGTTTCTAGGAAGAAAGAAGATGGTCATAGAACATGAGAACAGGAATGCCTTAATTGCAATTTCACACTGGTACTCTGAAAAGCCATTGCTCACCTGCAGGCTCGTGTGCATAGGGGTGAGTCCGTAATGGCTGAGAAACTATGAAATGTACCCTGGAATTTCCAGCCATCTTCCCCTCCCCCTGCTCCTTCCACCGATAGAAATACTGATGAAGCGAAGATAAATTGCAGTTTAAGAGCTTTTCCGGAGAAGCGTCTGCACATGCAGTTATATAGGAGATACTGAAACTAAGATAAGAACATTAAGAATTATTTTTTCCATGTTACATTTAACTTGTTATGAATGTAGTTGTTTTCCTGTGCTATGACAAAACAAAGTAGTTGGATTTTTATGCACTTGAATGCCAAAATTAACATTCTGAGTCAAATTATATTAGCGAAATAGATCTGTTTCAGTCTTAGCAGTCTTTTTGGTTTTTCATTAGAAAAGGCCAAGGAACAAATGTTGATTACTGCAATTTTGGTGGCTGCTATATTGTGAGATAGAGCAATACAAAAGCCAATGCTTATTATAGCCTTCCAGATAGAAGTTCACTCAGATAAAATGGGTGCCAGTTACAAAATGCATTGACTTTCCTTTTTTAAAAAAAAAAACACAAAAACACATGAGTTTCGTCCATAGCTTTTTAGAAAACTGGTGGTGTTTCAGTAACTTGCCAGTGGAGGGTGTGTTGAAACAGCTTAAGTGCTCTTCGCTTTTACTGTCTTGTGTGCAACTGTTAACAAGTTAACAACAACTTTTGTGATATCTGGAGCCAAACTTACTTAAAAAAGCAACTGATCAGTGTGAAATAATGCTAGACAGAGTAGTCAGCAAACTAGAAAGATGACTGATGAGTCTTATCTTTAGAAAATATTTCACTCCTTGTCTCAGGTATTTATTTTGAAAGATGTAGGTACGATTGCTTTTATGTCTTCTTAGATAAGAGACATAAACAAGAGATTAAATTCTCAGAAGACTAAACTGACCCAAATTTACAATATAGCTAATAATAACAATTTAGTTCTGAAACTATCGAAAAGATACTTCCAGGAACTTAGGAATTTATTTTCAAAAGTAGAACTAGTCTCTGTTGGTACTTTCTGTTGGAGATTTTTCTTTTTGCTTTCTCAAATTGCTAAATTACTTTTCCCACATGGAATTTTACTGAGAATCACATTTTTTCACCCCTAGCATGCCTAAATTGAATCACAGAAAGATAAGCATCTTGAAGTGGGGTCTGTGGACTAAATGGTTCATTCTAATTTTCTAAACTGATTAAATCTCTCATGAGGACAGCTTACTATTCCTAAAAACTCACATATCCTACCAGTGTTGTTGACAATGTCTAAAAATATTCCATATTTTTCAGTTATTATTTAAATATATTTTAAATCTTGTACAAAGACATCAAAGACATGTTGAACAGTTTTTCTGTGACTTTGAAGTTAGGTGCTGAGTTTATTTAAGCAAAGAATGAGTTTAGATCAGTTATGGTCAGTACAAGGAATTATGTAGGGGAAACACACATCAGAAAACAAAATCTCCTTATGTTGATATTGCTACCAAGAGGAAAATACACCTTGAACATAGTGATGGATTTCTACCTCTCATTGAACCTGAGAAACTAGATCCTTTCACTGAAGTGGCACCTGCACTTCACAAAGCCATCTGAGAGATAGCATCAGCCCTTAATTTTTCAGGACTATGGATATTATTCTTTGAGTATGCCCCCTAAACTTGGGGAAGGTGAAAATTGAATTGGGCTGAAGCCTTGGGGAACATTTAGAAAAGCTATATATTATCCCTAAAAAATGAATGTGCTTTTTCAGGAAAGGGTTTGCTCTGAGGAATGTCATTAATGATGATCAGCAATGATTGGCAAGCAGGGAGAAAAGATCCCTGATCCTGTAGGTCAAGAAGACACCTGTAAAGAGTCAATGTCCTTTAGTTTTTGGCTTGCTGTAGCCAAACAATCTTCTAAATGCTTCTTAAGTACATGTATTTCTACTCTGACTTAACTGTCATTAACCAGAAGATTTATTCCACCTAGGTACTATTTTTCTACATTATTTATGGGTATATTATGGTATTATAATTTGGTATATTATGAGTACAAGTAGAAACACAGGAGGTTCCATCTCCATGTGGGGAAGAACTTCATTCCTGTGAGGGTGACAGAGCCCTGGAACAGGCTGCCCAGAGAGGTTGTGGAGTCTCCTTCTCTGGAGATCTTCAAAACCCGCTTGGATGCAGTCCTGTGCCACGTGCTCTAGGTGCCCCTGCTGGAGCAGGGGGTTTGGACTAGATGACCTCTAGAGGCCCCTTCCGGCCTCAACCATTCTGTGATTCTGTGATTTATATTTTTATTTATGTATTACTATCAATATTATTCTTTCCCTCTTTTATATTTATGGAGTGGGCATTTTCTTCTGCTTTGTCCTATCCAGTTGCAGATCCAGACATAGTGCTCCATTACTTACTTTCGAACTTGAGAAAACAAAGCATAAAGGAGAATATAACAGGTTGAAATGCTGGCAATTGCAGTCTTGGTGGTGTCCTTGGGGTGGGACTACTGAGCTTGCTTCAGCAGCTTCAGTACAAGCATCTAACTATCTGACTTGTCCTGGCACATTTATCACGGAAAGTCATCCAACAAGATGGGCTCCCAGTTCTTTAGAACATGAGGCACACTTGCTATCATAATAAATTGGAAGACACCACAGTTTAACTCTTCTAGGATTTTCAAACCTCCTGAACTCCTGTGTCTAATAGTAAGAAACTCCCTTTTTGTGGTCAGGCACCTATTTGGTTTTGAACATCTCCAGCACAGAGCAGGGCAAGTGTCAGCTGCTGACAAAGCAAAGCACACTGTAAAAATGAATCACTGTTGTTGTGTGCCAAAGCTGCTACTCAGTAGTGGGCAGTTTCTGAATCATACTTTGCAACCAAAAAAAACAGAAAGAAGATTGATTATATATCACTCTCACTGGAGTGGGGCACTGAGAACAAGTCTAACAGGGAAGAGATTTAAGAGATATTTTTTAAAAAATAATCTTGAGCATGTATGTATATGCAAGTAGATGCATAATAAATGCATATAGCTACTATCTAGAATATTTGTGTACGTACATTCAAATGGCTGTATCCTCTTACAGAAGCCTCTGGACAACTTCAAGCTTCAGTCCAATGCTGGAGCTCTCGCCCTCCAGAGCCATTATTTTGCATTTATGGGGTCTCGGCAGGGTACTGGACCCAAGCTAGCAGTAGCTGAACCATGACTCCTTACCAGGAGCCACTCTGCCATCAAGGCTGCGGTTATCCATATTTCATCTTGTTGAATACATTCTTAAGACTCTGCTTTTTCCCTGCAGTCTGTTCCATAGTGAAAAATAAGCATCATTTTAGCTGATATGGGCAGCACTGTGGCTCTATCCCTCCCATGGAAATGAGTTGCTCAAGTCTAAGATTGTAGAACAGTGAATGTTCCAGAAAAGTAAATAAAAAAAATGCATAAATAAATGCATAAGGCATACAAATATCAGAGTGAAAATAAACTATGTTTAAAGGGAAAGGAAAAGAATAAATAAAAGGATTGTTGATCTTATGCTCTGATTGTGTTTTGCATTTGTGTTTCAAATGTCTTTTAAAATATGCTCATGATTTCATGCATAATCGATATGACATGAAATTACAGTGATTGCTGATGCAAATTAGATAATTGTGCACGCCAATTATGTGTTACGTCTGTTGCATTGCTTGAATAAGCAATTACTGAATTTCCAGAGACAAGCTTGTTAACTAGGAATGCATATTAGGCATATAATTACCACCACTTAATTCAGAAAATCAGGCAAAGAAGAATTTAGCTGGGGTTACAAATCTTGGCATTTTTCCTGGGCATAAAATTCTGCTTTTATTATATGAATTTCTTGCGTTTATACTAGCTTGTGCCCCACAGTGCTTTAGGAAATGATTCAAGCTCAATTAAATAAGGCACGTGCCTAATTTAAACGCATGAATGGTCACTTTGATTTCTTTGGTCCTCTTCAAGTGGTGTATGAGAACCATATGGAAACTAGGTGATCTGTGCAGATCTCTACATTTTCTACTGAAACTTGGCTGCCCCACTGGCAGTCTATCTAGTACCCCACAGTGTGCCCTGTAAACAGGATGTGACCAACGCCGTATTCGGATAAACCTCAGGAGGAAGCTGGTTAGAGTGAACACACTCAAGCTGGAATTCTGCCAGGGAGATCGCGGGTGCCTTCTTCCTTTGGACCTTTGGAAACTGTGAATTGCCAGGCTGCCTGTTTACAGCTGAACTGACAGGTGATGTCAGGCCTGGACCACAACTGCCCTGCAGTGATGATAGTTCCATGGTAATTCAGAGGACAGAGCGCCTCGTGTGAGGGGCCAGTCCTACCTGCCATGATGCAGTCACATCCCTTTGGTTCCTCCTGCTCTCTTTTTCCTTGTAGCACCTTGGAGGTCCGAGAGATCTGACTGCTTACTCATTTGGGTGGTCTTATCAGTGATTTCTAAGTCTCAAAGTGGTGTCTCAACACTGTTAAAAGTCTATGCTGTGAAAGAAGACATAATAAATTACAATAATCTGTTTGAAGAGCCAAAAGCTTGAATATCATTCTTATTGATAGTAGCTTTTTTATCGTTCCCACTGTTAAATACATGTCTCTGAGTCTCAGGCAGAGATGTCAATATTGAGAGAAGGTCCAGACAGATTTGTTTCATAACTTTTTCAGCTGATCAAGTTGGGAATTTAGCACTTTTACATTACTCAGTTGAAGGCCACCAAACTAGCATAAAATCTCTTCCAAACCTGATCCCACAAATTCATTTTTTTTCCCATTTTTTCCCCAGGACGTACCACTCATCATAATGGAACTATGTGCGTGTATAAGGTTATTTGTGCAAGTCAAGAGGATAAGTAATGTATTTAGGAAAATGCCCGGAGGTACTGATTACAACTGAAGTATTTGGGCTATTAAAATTTGTATTTTTCATACTTTAAAACCAAAAAAAATATGTTTGGTAGATTCTAGCTTCCTGAAATATCTAGCAATAAAGGATAAAACTTGAGACTGACGAGATTGAAGGAGTTTAGAAGAAGGCCTCAGTTCTTCATGCTCCCATGCAAAGGTCAGC